TTTTTTTTTTTTTACAATTTTCCCAATTGTAAGAGAGCTTTCTGAATTTTAAATTTTTTGGGGGGGTGAAAAAATGGTCTAAATTAAAAGCATTTTATAAAAATTTATAAAGCAAACTCCTCATCCACAGACAGGGATCAGTACAACTGTGAAAGGAATACATTTAAGGATTTTTCTCATTTTAAGCCACATCATTTGTCGCATTAGACTGAATGGAAAGCACTCAAGCAAACCTGTCGTTTCCTTTTCTTGTCCGCACGACCATGCGTCAGTCCACCCTAAAGCGCCGGCCGCATCTCAGCCCGTGCGAGGCGCGCTTGTGGGTGGGCAGCCGTCTGCCCTGCCGGCCTCGTGCGGGACGTTTCAACCTGCACGTGTCCTTTCAGGTGGAGCAGGGCTACCGGAGCAGCGCGGCGTACCGTCAGCTGGACTCTCAGGCGCTGGAGGCCTTGGATCTGCCCACACCCACCTGCTTCCGCTCCCGGAGCCACAGTTACCTGCGCGCCATCCAGGCCGGCTGCTCTCAAGACGACGATACGGGCTCCGTGGACTCCGACGAGACGCCACCTATAACCTCATCCATCAGCAGCTACAGCAGCGCCACCGGTGAGTAATAAACAAGCACACGCTCATACAGGATCACATTCATGGACCTGCTGCTTACCGTAAAAACGACAGCAAAATCAACAGAAAAGACTGATTACATTTTGTGTAAAGAAAGTCAAGCCTGTTTAATGACCGTTAAGATTGTTTCCATTGTAACATTATTTTCGTGACAGAGATGCACTTTTCTTCCTTAAATTCTCATTAAGACATTTTAAGTAAATATCCATACTGTATTATGAATCATTTACACCAGCATAAAATAAAAGCCAGACAAAACAAATAATATCATGATATATAAGTATTTTACTATTTAAATTACATATCTTTAATTTTTTAAAACATCATAAATCATAAATGTCTTAATTTTTCTTTGAGTTAAATATATTTTATTTATTTTTTGGGGGCGGTGAAATATAAGCTTGCATAAAATAGTTTTTTCACTTTTACAGTACCGTTTAGAAGTTTGAGGTCATTGTAATATTTTTTTTTTTTTTTGGAGAGAAATTAATACTTTTTTTTTCAGCAAGGATGCACAAAATCCAAAGTGACAGTAAAGACATTTATAATGTTACAAATGATTTCTATTTCAAACAAATGCTGTTCTTTCGGACTTTCTATTCATGAAAGAATCCTAAAAAAAAACCGAAATGTATCACAGTTCCCACAAAAATTTTCGGCAGCACAACTGTTTTCAACATTGATAATAATCAGAAATGTTTCTTGAGCAGCAAATCAGTATATTAGAATGATTTCTGAAGATCATGTGACACTGAAGACTTCAGTAATGATGCTGAAAATTCAGCTTTGATTACAGAAATAAATTATAGTTTACAATATATTCACATAGAAAACAGTTATTTAAATTTGTAATAATATTTCACAATTTTTTTTATTTTAGGTTTAATGAAATAAATGCAGCTTTGGTGAACAGAAGAGACTTCTGTCAAAAACATCAAAAATCATACTGACCCCAAACTTTGAAATGGTACTGTATGTTGTCATTTGTGGTTTATGACTGTGCATTTACAGTAAAATATTTTATTACATGAGAAACTGAAAAAAGGCAGTGAATGATTGATGCATTTGATATTACTGTATAATCACTGAACACTTTAAAGTAATGATGCCGACCACTGAAAAAAAAATTGACCTGGCTGTCATGTATCACACGGATAGCGCTGAATTTGCACATGCAAAAACGAAAGTGTTGATAAAGTAGACAAAGTCCACGATATGCAAGATAATAACATCCTGATAAGCACAGGTCTCGCGGACTTTTTACTGATCATGATGTTATTTTATTGCCTCCAGAGGTGATGTCAGTGCAATCAAACAGGCCTTGTTTTTCTTTCTCAGTAATCAAGACTTTAGTGTGAAGTCGGATCTCTTTTGCTTTGAGAGGTCGGCATGTGGGCAAGTTCAGACAGATGATCTGGAGTCATGGTGCGAGGGTAAAAACAGCCACTAGTCCATGACGACTGTCTCATGATGGTCCTCTTAAAGGGATAGTTCACCTCAAAAATTTAAATTCTCTCATCATCTACTCACCAATTTCATCTCAGAAGGCTTATGTAGAAGCACATGAGGCGTATGGTCTACTTTGGTCCATTTTGGAGACAAACATAATCAGGCTTTTGGAAGGATTTGGTCCTTTCACTTAGTTCATTTGGTCAAGATTATGGAAGCTTGTTTCCTCAACGGAATCAAAAATAAAGATAATTACGACTTTTTATCTCATAGTTCTGACTTTTTTTCTTGCAATTCAGAACGGCAAGATATGAACTCACAAATGTGAGATATGAGTTTGCTAATCTGAGAAGGAAAGTCTAAATTGTGAGATACAAACTCAGAATTGCAAATTGCAAAAAAAAAAAAAAGTAAAACTCAGACATCTGGAAAAAACAGTCTGAACTACAAGATGTAAACTCTGAAATCTGAGAAAAAATAGAATTGTGAGAAAAAGACAGAATTTCAAGACGTGAACTAAGAAACCTGAGGAAAAATAGAATTGCGAGATGTCAACTCAGAATATAGAGGAAAATAGAATTGTGAGGAAAAAATGAGAATAGGGAGATGTAAACTCAGAAAAAATAGAAAAATATCAGAATTGCAAGTAAAAAATAAAAATTGCGAAATGTAAACTCAGAATACAGAAAAAAAATCTGATTTGCAAGAAACAAATGAGAATAGCAAAACGTAAAATCAGAATACAGTGAACATTTTTTGAGAAAAAATAGAATTGCAAGATGTAAACTCAGAAATCTGAGAAAAAAAATTAATTGCAAGATGTAAACTCAGAAATCTGAAGAAAAAATTGTCAGAATTGCGAGATGTAGAATCATAAATCTGAAAAAAGTCAGAATTGAGATGTAAACTCAGAAATCTGAGAAAAAATAGAATTGTGAGAAAAAGACAGAATTTCAAGACGTAAACTAAGAAACCTGAGAAAAAATAGAATTGCGAGATGTCAACTCAGAATATAGAGGAAAATAGAATTGTGAGGAAAAAATGAGAATAGTGAGATGTAAACTTTGAAAAATATCAGAATTGCAAGTAAAAAATAAAAATTGCGAAATGTAAACTCAGAATACAGCAAAAATCTGAATTGTGAGAAACAAATGAGAATAGCGAAACGTAAAATCAGAATACAGTGAAAATTTTTTTAGAAAAAAAAATAGAATTGCAAGATGTAAACTTAGAAATCTGAGAAAAAATAGAATTGATGCAAACTCACAATTGTGGGTTTATACCTTGCATTTCTGAGGAAAAGAGTCAACTCGCAATTCTGAGTTTATAACTCGCAATTGTGAGACATAAACTCACAACACTGAGGAAAAAGTTAGAATTGTGAGACGTAAACTTGCAATTGAGAGGAAAAAAAGTCTGAATTGTGAGATTTATAACTTGTAGTTCTGAGGAAATAAGTCAGAATTGATGTAAACTTTTGCCCGTGGCAGAAACAAGCTTCTGTACAAGATCCATTAGGCTGCTGCAGTCAGATTGTTTATAACGTATCAAATGGCCACTGCCAAGATGTCCCACTCTCTCTCACACACAAAATCTTCTGACCTACATTAGTGCTGGTGGTGTCCTGCGGAGATGAGTCCTTCAGCTTAACGGCTAATGTTTCTCGGCCCATCATGACCGACTCTGGCAAAACTTCCACTGCAAATTAACCGGTTTTCAGAGGAATTAACCGACATCAAGCAGATTAGTTTGGCACAACGCTTAATAAACCAGCAGCCAGTGGATCGTTCTGATTTTGCAGTTGATCTACTTTATTTGTATCGCATTTTACTGTATTTTGATAGGTCTTATCATTTGAAAGGCGAACATAGTCCAGATTGATTCAGTCGGGCAACATTCCCATAATTTCTTGATGATCTTGAAACGTGTTGATAAGGCTGTGTATGTACAAAGCACGGTTGTATACGCTCAGAATAGCAAATAATGAAATCTAGTCTATTTTTGGAGAGGAATCTGACTAATGCTATTTAGTTTAGGTAGCAAGCTGTCAAGAAAAAACTAATCTTGGCCATCTGTTTATAATTTCTGTAAAAAAAAAACAAAAAAAACCCCTGTGCTATTTTTTGCATGTTCCATGACTATATTTGGCATAGCATACTTTCTTACTCTAATACTATGCTTATTGTGCACAACAGTTCCGACTGTGTTTTTTCTTCTTCAGTATATGCATACAAATATATTTGATAAAATAAGCAGCTTATTAAATGAAAACTGTATCCCAGAATGCAATGCGCTTGACTTGACCTTCTATTCCCGGCGTGATGAATCACTCGGAAGTAATATCGGCATCAATCCCTTTCATTTGATCAGAGTGTAAGACATTTTTACACAAAATTGGATATTTTGCTAAATTATAGCTAAACATGTAGTGAGGTCATGTGACCACAATTTAGCAAAATACCGTTTATGGCCGAATAATGCATACTGTTTCACTTCACTTTTAAAACTAGTAAGCAGTATATTAAACAGCATTCAATAATAAGCCGCTTTAGTAACATTTAGTAATTTTACTGAATAATGTCGCTACTTTTGCAAGGCTTGGATCTATCAAATAAATAAAATTAGTGCTGTCAAATGATTAATCGCATCCTCCGGAGGTTGCATTTGCAGGGTGCATACATCATCAAGCCTGGTTTATTTCAGTTAACTGAGCATTACATTCGCGAGTCATAAGCATATTGCAACAATTTACGCTTAACTAAGAATAATGGTCAAATTTATAACTGTTAATATTCTAAAATAAGATCTTCTTTATGAAGTATGCAGCCTACAAATGCGACCTCTGGAGGATGCAGCCTTCTGTTTGAGAAACTGCCAATATATGTGTGTGTACTACTGTGTATATTTATTATGTATATTAAATACACACACATCCATGCATATATTTCAGAAAAATGTTATATTTATATATTAAATATAATATAAATTATATGAATATAAATATATACATGTAAATGTTTTAAAAAATATATACTGTGTGTAATAATATATACATAATAAATATACACAGCACACACACATATTATGTAAACAAAAACTTTTATTTTGGATGCGATTAATCGTGATTAATCGTTTGACAGCACTAAAATGAATAAACAAATGCCCTTCAGTAGGCTATGTATAATAAAAGCTAATGTTATAAGTAAAAAAAAAAAAAAGGTTTTCCTACAATTTTGGTTTGTTTGTTTTCAGATGCAGAAAGCGTTGCCAGATTGATTTCGATAACAGATGCCTTAAGATGTTGTTAGTAATTAACATAGTAGTATTATTACACTCCGAAAAAAAGAGAACGCTTTTTTTTAATTAAAAAAAGATAATAATGACAAAACAAATAAATTACTAGACAGGGGTATAAAATGAAACAAAACACATTACATTCAAAGGAAAAGATTAAACAGCTTGAAGAGAAAGAACCCGCGCGAAAGCGGGGATTCTGTGTGACGCACAAACAGCGATTCTGATTCGTCCGCGTC